AGTGTTAGAGGCCTTCAGTTCAAGGAGGTTGCCTGAGTATGAGAAACATCCTGATGTAAGATAACAGAGGTTCCAGGGCAGGGGTGGGGAACATCCAGCCCTCGGGCCGTATAAGACTCTCCAAATCACGTGGTCTGGCCCTGCCAAGGCATTAGGGGTGAGTTAATTAAATGTTTGACCAAATAGAGCAGGCTAATTTGTAAGTTGATGATTTTGTATGGCCCGAGAATGATGTTATAAATATCCAAAGGGTTCCCCTTCTGCATTGGGTTGTTTGTACACAGCCCCAGCACCCCTTGCCCAGACAGCTGTTGACTCTCCCTTTCTCGACTTGGAAGGGAATTTCCTCAGAATGTCCAGGAAGGATTTCAAGCTACGTACAAGGTAGCCTGAGCAGACCCGGCTTGGGGCACTGAGGGCGCCTATATGACCGTGTGGAATAAGCCATCCTCCTCATCCTCTGCTCTTTCATCTTTATGGGCACATTTTAGAGATCAATGCTATTTACATATTTTTTATTATTAAGGCAAAATTCACATATCATAACATTAACCATTTTAAAGTGAACAATTCAGGGGTATTTAGTATATTCACAATGTGTGCAGCCATCACCTCTGTCTGGTTCCAAACATTATCGTAACGCCAAAAGGAAACCCTGTACCTATCCACCCCCCTCCCCTCTGCCTCTGGTAACCGCCATTCTGTGTCCCGTCTCTATGGATTTATCTGTTTGGGATATTTCATATAAATGAAATCGTTCTCTCAGAGAGCATATTGCCCTCAGGGGTCATCCACATGGTAGCATGTGTCAGAACATTTCTTTCTATGTCTGAGTAATATGTCATGGTACATACTAGTATATGATGAAATTTATTGATTTAGTCTCCCCTCGATGGGTCTTTGGGCTGTTTCCACCCTTTGGCTATCGTGAATGATGCTGGTGTGACATGTGTGTACACGGACTTATTTGAGAACCGTTTGTAATTCTTTGGGGTATATGCCTAGGAGTAGAAATACAGGCTCCTATGGTAATTGATATTTTGAGGAACTGCCAAAATATATATTTCTTTTTTAAATAGTAACTTTACTAGGGAAATTGGGTGGGAAAACTCTGGGGGAGAAGTCAGGAGACCTGGGTTCTTTTCCTCGCTTTTCCACGAACCAGCTGTGTAACCTCGAGCAAGTCCTGTCCCTTTCCGGACTCTCGTTTCCTCGTCTGAAAAGCATGAAGCTAAATAATTCCTAAATCCCCTTCACTTTTAAGAATTTATTAGGAGAAAATGGGTCCCAGGGAGAATGGTGAAACAGCTAAAGGTGATTGACTCTGTGTTCTTTTTCTGCTGTGATTTTAAATTGTGAGTTAAAAGCACCCTCAATAAGTGGGCTTTTCCCCCTGCCAACGTGTTTCTAGTTAATGAGCAGCTTCTGGCTTCCTTTTTCCATCAAGATTCCCAGAAGACGGTAACCCTCTCCCCATCACTCTGACTGCTTGGCAGCTAGCTCCCTGGCAGTCAAGGAGCCGAGACTGGAGCCATCCCACTGTCCTCCCTGAAGGCGGGCTGCGCCTGCCCAGGGCCGCTGCTCTCAGCACTGAGGTTTCAGCTGGGTAACCTGGGCCTGGCCTTTGGGGAGTGGGAGTCAAGGGAGGAGGCAGCAGACGTTCTGAGACAGTAAAAGGACCACCTGAGAGAGTCGGGAGGAAGACAGAAGACCTCCTGTGATGCCTTTTAGCCAGAGGGTCCCTCCCTGAGAGACTTTCTGCCTTCTCTGCCCTCCTCCAGCGGAGTGGCTCCCCAGCCGGAGGAGCGCATGCCTGTGTAGGGAGGGAGGGTGTTCCTCCACCGTGTGCGGCGAGGCCCACATTACGTGCTCTCCTGTACCACCTGGTGGTTTTCTGGGGGAATATGAGGTTTCTAAAACACGCATGATCTGAGTGGTTTATTTCATCCGTCAGTCACGTGTCCATTTTTCATCCACCCATCACATGTTTTTGAGTGCCCGCATGGTTTAGGCACATGTGAGCGTCTAGGAATAACCGAGACCAGGCACCTCCCTTATAGAGCCTTTTTATGGGGGATAAGAGTGGCTTCTGGAAAGAACACTAAGTGACAAGTGCTTTGATGGGGGGAGGGGGGACATAAATGGTGTTCAGGAGCGCAGACAAGGGTCACGTAAGTCATACCTAGCAAATCCTACTGAGAGGGCAGTTCAAAGAGCGGTCTAGACCAGCCGTGGGCAAACTACGGCCTGCAGGCCGGATCCGGCCCGTTTGAAATGAATAAAACTAAAAAAAAAAAAAAAAAAAAAGACCGTACCCTTTTATGTAATGATGTTTACTTTGAATTTATAGTAGTTCACACAAACACTCCATCCATGCTTTTGTTCCGGCCCTCCGGTCCAGTTTAAGAACCCATTGTGGCCCTCGAGTCAAAAAGTTTGCCCACCCTTGGTCTAGACAGACGTTAATCTGTGCAGCAGTCAGCCAGCACGACAGAGCGTGATGCACGCAGAGACCTGGTAGAAGCCCCGTAGACACAGGGGAGGGAGATGAGAGACGAGAGGCCGTGGGGGCTGTCATCCGGGGCCTCCGAGCCATGCCAAGGACTTCCGCTCTAACTTTCAGGCAGTCGTGAGCCAGTGAGTTTGACTAGGGGAGTGGCATAGGGTTTATATTTGCACTTGAGCGATGACCACTCTGGGTCTGGGTGGAGAATCAGTCAGGGGGCAAGAGTAGAAGCGGGGAGACCACTGAGGTCTGTCTGCAGTGACTGGCATGAAACGATGGTGACCAACACTAAGGGGGAAGCAGTGGGAAGGGAGGAGGGAGAGAGAGCCCAGAGATATACCTGAGGTTGGGGCTGGTGCAGGCCCAGCTTGCAGGAGAGAAACTGCTGAAATCCGAGTCAGAATCCTTTAGCTCCCCACCCCCGCCACCCCCACCCTCACCCCAGTTCTGGCACAGCCAGGGCACCCCAGCCTCCGGGTCTTCAGAGGGAGAAGCTCTGGAGTCCTGCCCCTGCTCCTCACCCCACACCCTCAGTGGGGGAGGTGGGAGATGGTGGGCACACAGATGAGAGCTGGCGTCAAGTTGCTGCCAGATAGGAGGATAGAAGTGCATCCATTTTGATAGGTGGCTATAAGGCCAGGAAAGCTGGACGCATTCTTCGGAAACCTGCCGTCATCTTATTTGACCCGACCTCATGGTGGAACAGCAAACTGGACCAGTTTTTTAAGACTCGTGTTTCAAAACCTCGGTGATCTTAAAGCTCTGCGTCTGAGGGTCAGCTGTAGGCCGTTCTTGATCTTGTCCCTCAGGAGGAGGGAGAAGGTTTGTCTCTTCAGGACCCACTCCAGGCTCCTCGGGCCACCACGTTCACCCCCTGCCCCTCTCGGTCTGGAATGGTTTCTTGTTTGAGGATGTAAACCTTGGGCTGGCGTAATGTTGCTCATTCTACCAGCCCCCTGGGGCCCCCTTCTCCTGGGCCATCATCTCAGCACTGCCGGTACCTCCCAAGGGATACGTCAGGGGCTGCCACACCTCAGCTGCACACAACATCTGCAGAAAGCATGCACGTTTTTAAAAGTCCTTTGGGCGCCCTGGCCAGTGTACTCAGTGGTTAGGGTGTCTGCTCATGCACTGAAGGGTCTCGGCTTTGATTCCTGCTCAAGGGCACATACCCGGGTTGCAGGTTCCATCCCCAGCCTTGGTCGTAGCATGTGTAGGAGGCAACCAACCGATGTGTCTCTCTCACATTGATATCTCTCTCTCTCTCCCCCCCTACTTCCCTTCCTTCCACTCTCTCTCTGAAAAATCAATGAAAAAAAAAATTTCCTCGGGTGAGAATTAACAAAGAAAAGGTCCTTTGAGCAGTCAAGTTCCACCCACCTAACCCCTGATGCCCAGTGCCGCCACCTTCACCTTGTCCCCCTCCCTGGATCAAAGGACATCAGCGTGATCTTATCTCTGGGCCCCCGACCCCAGACACTCAAACACAGCCCCACTCCGCAAGGGGGCTTCAGAGGAGCTGTGAGATGGGTGCATTTATTGCTGGACAGGTATATGGCCTCTTCCAGGTGCTGGGCCAGTGGGATTCAGCTGCCAGGTCTGTTACGTGAGGCAGGTTTGCTAGTGTGGGGCATGTGGAATGCCAGATTGGGGGTCGTCCAGGGACCTGGGTTCTTCTTGGGACTCCTTTACCCACCTGCTGTGTGACCCTGACCAAGCGAGGGCCTGAGTTGCCGTGAACAGAACACAGAGAGGATGGACCCTCCAGGCTGGGATGGGCAGGGCGCAGCTCTGGGCTCCACCGGGGGTCCTGGATGTGAGGAGTTCCTGCAGGGTGAACCCATAAATAGATGGCCTTGACATCTGTGCTAGGACTCTGGGTCCTTGTTTTCAGGACCGGACTATCCAGAGTTGCCCTTCCTTCTAGAACAGTGGTTCTCAACTCGGGGTGGTCTTGTCCCCCAGGGGACACTTGGCAATGTCCAGAGACATTTTTGATTGGTGGCAGAAGTGGGCTCTGCTGGCATCTCTTGGGTAGAGGCCAGGACGCTGCTATACATCTTACAGTACCTAAGACTGTTCCCCACACGGAGAATTATTGGGTCCCTAATGTCAATAGTGCAAGGTGAAGAAGCCCTATTTAATTTATTTATTTTTAATATATTTGATTGATTTTTTACAGAGAGGAAGGGAGAGGGATAGAGAGTGAGAAACATGGATGAGAGAGAAACATTGATCAGCTGCCTCCTGCACACTCTCTACTGGGGATGTGCCTGCAACCAAGGTACATGCCCTTGACCGGAATCGAACCTGGGACTCTTCAGTCCACAGGCCGATGCTCTATCCACTGAGCCAAACCGGTTAGGGCAGGAAGGCCTATTTTAGAACAGTGGTCTGTGACCCAGGGGACCTTTGCATCCTGCCGGCCCTGTAGGATTGCTAGAACAAACCATGAGTTTAAGAAATAACTCACTTGTCGTATTTCTTTCCACAGCTGAGCTCTGTCTGGGAGGCTGAGTCAGAGCAGCTGGAAGAAGCAAGACCCCGCCGGCCGGGGAACGGGGAGCGGGGCCCAGCGCCGAGGATGGCCAGGCCGCAGCCACCACCCTGGGTCCACGCGGCCGTCCTCCTCTGCCTCCTCGGCCTGGGCGGGGCCATCGAGATTCCTATGGATCGTGAGTTCCCCTTCCTCTTTTAATCTCCCGCTTTGGGGCAGAGGGAAGTTAAGACCCACTTCTGAAGAAGCTTGGGGGGCCAGGGTGAAACTGGATTCTGGTTGCAGAGCTGAGTTTCCCCAAAATGGAAGCAGGCGGGCTGGTGCTTTAGAGAGTGAGACTGTGAGTCTGCAGCGGTCTCCACGGCTGTGGTTGTGGCTCGGGCTGCCCGGAGCCTGCTAGGCGGGACTAGAAGTGGCAGAGTTTGGATGTCGGAGTGTCCTCTGTGGTCTTGACTTGCCCGTCAAAGGGACCAAGTGAGTGGGTGGTTATTTGCCTCATTCCTGAGCTGGACCCTCCAGGCCCTCTTGGCTGGACTGACCAGGAGGACGGGTGGCTGGGAGCGGGTTGGGAGGGGATTATTTTGCAGACGACTGTGGCTGCATGAGGCATTGAAAGAGAGCCCGTTAGAATGCCGCTGTGGGAGAACCGGGCCCTGATCCCTGCGGCTTCCAGCTCTCCCACGGCAGAGCTGAAAAGCAAAATCCATGCCATTCTGTTGCCTCTGGGCGGGGCACCACTTGGCCCTCAGAATCACAGAGTAAGGGGCTTAGCGTGCTGAACTCACGCTCCACCAGCCGTATCTGTGGTACGTTCTTGATGGCCCACTGCCTGGCAGCCATGCTCCTCGGCCCTGCATTTCGAGGTACACCCACCGCCTTTGGCACAGCCCTGACACTCCTATCAGGACATCTTGCATCCCCATGCTGAGACGTAGGCATACCACCTCCATGCCCTGTCCCCTGATTCCAGGAATAGATGGAGCCCACATGATGCCAGTGTTGACTTGGGCTCTCTCCAGGTGACAGATGTCTGGGGAGGGGGAAGGGAGTTACACAGCCTCCGAGAAATCTCCACCGAGCTCTCCAGAGCCAGGCCCTGGGGCCTGGAGTTAGCAGAGCTTAGAGAACAGTTGCCGGTGTCTCAGCCCCCTCCTACCCACTTCACCAATAGGAGCTGCCCCCAAGGAGTGGGCACTTTGGATAAAGAAGGCCAGGAGAAACTATAGGGTAGGCCCGGAAGTAAGATGGACAAGGCCCCTGCTGTCCTCCCGGTAGCCCCAAGTATGTGTGTGTGATTGGCAGGGGGGGCAGGGGAACACAAACACCCAGACACTCAGGGATGGGGGCAGGGGAGTTGTGAGAGGAACTGTTCCGTGGAGACCATCTGTACAGCTGGCTCAAGGAGATTCTCATTAACAGGCCCAGGCAGACAATCTAATAAGGAGCACGGTAAGGCCCTCCCTCCCCCTGGAGACGAGAGGCTGCTGAGGAAATTGGTTATCAAGGAAGTGGTGACGGCTCATTTCTCTCCCACGGCTTCTCCTCCCTCCCTCACCTGCCACTTTGATCCCCGGGGCTGGTGGGTGAGGAGTTCCTGCAAGGTGAACCCATAAATAGATGGCCTTGACATCTACGCTAGGACTCTGGGTTTCTAAAGCTCTGCCGAGCCACAGGCAGGTGACTGAGCTGTCAGTCTCTTCCAGGACCCCCGGTGGAGCCCAGAGCTGGAGCGCCCTGCCCTCCCCAGCCTGGAGGGTCCATCCTCTCTGTGTTCCGTTCACGGAAACTCGGGCCCTCGCTTGGTCAGGGTCACACAGCAGATGGGTAATGGAGTCGCAAGAAGAGCCCAGGTCTCTGGACGCCCCCCAGTCTGGCGCTGCACATGCCCCACCCTGACCTCTAGCAAACCTGCCTCCTTTCAGTTCTTAGCGCTTCCCGGAGTAGCAGCGGCGTGTGCCCAGCAGAGAGCTGAGTGCCTTCCGGCATCGCGTCCTGAGATTCTCACAGCTAATCCACGAAGTATGTGTTGTCCTTAGCTGACAGGTGAGAAGTCTGAGGTAGGGAGAAATGGAGCAGTTTCTCCAGCTCGTAAGTGGCAGGGCCAGCATCTGACCACAGCGCCTCTGAACGAGGAGGTGAGTCCATCGCGACACAGTCCGGCGCGCCAGGCTGTCTCAGGAAACTCGCTGCCTCGCGCACCTCCCTGGTGACTGCGGGCACAGTTGCCATAGTGCGTTCTCCAGAATGAGTCTACAAAAGCCGAACACAAGACAGGAGAGAGGCAAGCCCTCCTGTTGCCCTGGGGAGAGGTCCCCTACAGCCCCGTTTCTCCCTCCCCCTTCCCTGATGGTCTGCGCTCATCCTTCCTTCTCGCCCAGTGGAAGAGGCTGGGGAAAGATGAGTTATTCCTTTGCCCACCCAGCTTTGTTGAGATATTATTGATATATAACATGTGTAAGTTGAAGAAGTAAAACTTGATGATTTGCTACATGTGTGATTGGCGAAATGATGGCCACGGTAGGGTCAGTTAACACATCCATCCCTCAGGTGATTGTGTGTGTGGCGATGACTTACAAGGTCTACTCTCTTAACAACTTCCAAGTATAATGTAGTGCAGGCAACCTCATTTATTGTGCTTCACAGATGCTGCGTTCCTTACAGATTGAAGGTGTGTGACAACCCCGCCTTGAACAAGTCTGCTGGCACCATTTTTCCAACTCACTTCGGGTCTCTGAGTCCCATTGTGGTCATTCTTGCAGTATTTTAAACTTCTCCATTATTGTTCTATTTGTTATGGTGATCTGTGATTAGTGACCTTTGGTGTTACCATTGAAGCCGTCTTGGGGCACCACAAATCATGCCCATATACGATGGCAAACTTAGTTGACAAATGTTGCATGTGTCCTGACTGCTCCACTGATTCCCTGAGACACAACCGTGTTTTAATTAGGCCAATCAATAACCTTACTGTGGCCTCAAAGTGTTCAAGTGAAAGGAAGAGTTGCACGTCTCTTACTTCAGATCAAAAGCTAGAAATGATTGAGCTCAGTGAGGAAGGCACATCCAAAGTCAGGACAGGCCGCAAGCTGGGCCTCCGGTGCTGCAGAGCCAAGTTGTGAATGCAAAGGAAAGATTCTTGAAGGAAATGAAAAATGCTACTCCAGTGAACACACGAATGATAACGCAAAACAGCCTATCGCTGATGTGGAGAATGTTTTCGTGGCCTGGCTGGAAGATCAAACCAGCCACATTCCCTTAAGTCAAAGCCTAATCCAGAGCAAGGCCCTGACTGTCCAATTCTATGAAGGCTGCGAGAGGTGAGGAAGCTGCAGACAAAATGTTTGAAGCTAGCACACGTAGGTTCATAAGGTTTAAGGAAAGACTGTCTTCATAACATAAAAGTGCAAGGTGAAGCAGCGGGTGCTGATGTGGAAGCCACAGCAAGTTATCCAGTAGACCTAGCCAAGATAGTGAACAAACAAAGATGGTTGCACTAAACAACAGATCTTCCATGTAGATTAAACAGCCTGCTATTGGAAGAGGCTGTCACCCGGGACTTTTTTTTTAAAGATATTTTTAATATATATCTTTATTGATTTCAGAGAGGAAGGGAGAGGAAGAGAGAGGTAGAAACATCAGTGATGAGAGGGAATCATTGATTGGCTGCCTCCTGCACGTTGGACCAAGCCTGCAACCCAGGCATGTGCCCTTGACCAGAATCAAACCTGGGACCCTTCTGTCCGCAGGCCAACGCTCTATCCACTGAGCCAAACTGGTGAGGGCTGTCACCCAGGACTTTTATAACTAGAGGGGAGAAGTCAGTGCCTGGCTTTAAAGCTTCAAAGGACAGGCTGGCTCTCTTGTTAGGGGCTAATGCAGCTGGTGACTTTGAGTTGAAGCCAGTGCTCATTTGCTATTTCAAAAATCCTCGGGCCTTTAAGAATTACACTGAATCTACCCTGCCTGTGCTCCATAAATGGAACAACAAATACTTGGTGACAGCATGTCTCTTTATATCATGGTTTATGAAATATTTTAAGCCCATTTTTGAACCCTATTGCTCAAAAAAAAAGATTCCTTTCAAAATATTACTGCTCATTGACAATGAACCCAAGAGCCCTGATGGAGATGTACAAGAAGATTAATGTTATTTTCATGCCAGCTAATACGTCATCCACTCTGCAGTCCATGGATCAAGGAATACTTTTCACTTTCAACTCTTATTATTTAAGGAATACATTTTGTAAGGCTATAGATCCCATAGATAGTGATTCTCTGGTGGATCTGGGCAAAGTAAATGGAGTCACCATTCTAGAAGTTATTAAGGACACTCATGATTTGTGGGAAGAGGCCAGAATATCAACATTAACAGGAGTTTGGAAGAAGTTGATTTCAACCCTCCTGGATGACTTTGAGGGGTTCAGGGCTTCAGTGGATGGGTTGGAAATAGCAAAGAACTAGAATTAGAAGTGGAACTTGAAGATGGGATTGAATTGCTGCAATCTCATGATCAAACTTTAAAGGATGAGGAATTGCTTCTGATGGATGAGGAAGGAACGTGATTTTTTTTGAGATGGAATCTACTCCCGGTGAAGGTGCTGTGAAGACTGTTGAAACGGAACAAAGGATTTAGAATGTCACATAAACTTGTTAAAGCAGCCGCAGGGTTTGGGAGGACTGACTCCAGTTTTGAAAGCAGTTCTGTGGGCAAAATCCTATCAAACAGCATCGCATGCTACGAGAAACTGTTAGTGAAAAGAAGAATCCATCGATGCGGCAGACTTTATGGTTGTCTTATTTTAAGAAATTCCCACGGCCGCCCAACCTACAGCAACCACCACCTTCATCATTCAACAGCCATCAACGTCAAGGCTCAAAACCCTTGAAGGCTCTGATGATGGTTTGCATTTTTCAGCAACACATTATTTTTTAATTAAGCGATGTACATTGTTTTTAGACATGATACTATTGCACACATAGACTCTAGAATAGGGTAATCCCTCTTTATATGCACGGGGAAACCAAAAACTTCCTGTGATTCACTTTATTGCAAGATTGGCTTTGTCGTGGTGGTCTGGAATCAACTCCCTTCGAGTTATGCCTGTATTGTTCATTAGCATTGCCATGCTGTGAATTAGATTCCCGGAATGTATCCATCTTATAGCTCGAAGTTTGTACCTTCTGACCAATACCGCTCACCCCCTAGACCTTGGCAGCCACCGTTCCATTCCGTTCCTTGAGTTTGACTTTTTTAGATTCCACATATAAGTGAGAACATACAGGATGTGTCTTTCTCTGCCTGGCTTCTTTCACTTAGCATAATTGCCCTCCAGGCCCATCCATGTTGTGGCTTAAGGCAGGAGATATCTGCACCCCCTCTTCCTTGTAGCATTCTTCACAATGGCCAAGACATGGGGACACCACCTAAGATTAGGCGCTTCACTTTCCCTGTGAGTTGGGGGCAGGGGGATGGAGGGGGTCCCAGCCAGAGGCTGCCCCGCCAGGTGTGCCCTTCTGCTCCCTTGCCCCATCGGGGGCATTTTCTGTGCAGGAAGATAGGGCATTGCTCCTGCTCTGATGGGGGTTGGGTGCAGCAGGCTTCCAGGAACAGAGCCCTGGGCTGCTATACAGTCCCTCATTGAAGTGCCCAGCCTCCAGTCACCATCACTCTGCCAACGGAGTCACACGCACCCCCTCCCCAGCCTCAAGGACAGTGTAACCTTTGAAGAAAGCAAAGAGTCACCTCATCAGCCACAGAGGGCTTGCCAAAAGTGAGTCTGCTGGCAGCTTCCCCTGTCTCTCTCCCCACATCAGGGGACTCAGCATTTTTCTCCCAGGAACCCACAGAGGAGGGCAGTGGCCTGGTACTCCTCCCCGTCATCCCAAACAGTGCTGCAGGAGGGCTCAGTGCTCACTCACACTCACTCCATCCTCCGAGGGTTGAGCCCAGAGGTCACAGGTCAGAGTCAAGGAAAGAAAAGGGGTGCATGGATACTGGGCCGCATCTGCCCTCACCCCCTGCAGAGTCTGTTGGAAGACTTTCCTCCGTCTTGGGAGCCAAAAGAACAAATGTATTCTCCACTCGACATTCATCATCCAACAAGTTCTACGGGGGGGGGGGGGGGGGGGGGGGCAGGACTAGACAGGCGGTCCCCACTGTTTTCTTTCTCCCCGTGGCAGCTTGTCTTCTGGGTCGGTTGTGTCCCTGTATAAATTCCTAGGTGGCACAGTGTGGCTGGAGATGTCATTACCTCTTGAGGCAAGTAGCTTCTCAAGAAGCCCCTGGCCTGATTTCAGTGTGGGGCCGGGGCACAGTAGAGCTGAGAGGTATCCGTATTCCGGCCGCTCTAACTGTCCCATGAGTCTCCTCTCCCTCAAGGTCTTTCCTCTGACTTACCTTTGTCCAGAATGTCACGGAGAATGGAGGCCACGGCCCCATTGGGCCAAGGCTGGGTCTGTACCAGGAGCTCTGGGTCAGGCAGCAGAAGAGCTGGTTCTCACCCCAGTCCTGGAACAGACTTCCTGGGGGGTCTTGACCAAAGACTTCCCTTCCCTGGATTTGACTCCCTGGAGAACGTCCAGGGATCTTTCCACTGAGCCAGCATTGGAGTTGATGAATGAGAGACACAAAGCCCACCTGGGCAAAGCAGAGCCCTTGTCAGGCCTCCCATCCTGGGGGAGGCCAGAGCCTTCAACTGTGAGTGAGGGCCCAGGAGACACTTTGAGATGATAAACCAGGGGCCTGGGCTGCGGTCAAAGGGGTGGGTCAAGTGTCAGCCCTGCTTCTCCTGAAAGTGGCCCCTTCTCCCAACCGCCCACGCCCCCGTGAGAGGACATACCATCCAGAACCAACCCACTGCTTTCAGTCCTTCCAGAAAACCCCAGCGGGTGATGCTGCTCAATGGGAGCTGCACGGAGCACACGTTTAGAATCCAGAGACTTCTGCTTCGCCCCCGGCGTTTCATGTCTTATTGTTTCCTACCCAGGGGGCCAGACAGAATTTCCCTTCCGTGCCCCAACCGGCCACACAGACCCGGCCACTTGAAAGAATTACTCTGAGCCTTTCCGTGGGTCCTGCTCTCAAGACTTCCACTCACTGATAGCGTGGACAGCGGGCCACCGCTCCTGCCACCCGCCACCTCCCCTCTCTGCTGCCTGTCTTCTCTCCTGTGACTCTTTCTGCAGCTCTTGGTCTTAACTCTGCCTCTGCCTCTCTGAGCAACTGCCCCCTTCTGAGTCCCTGAACTCCTCGTCCACGTCTCATAGGGTCCCGTCCGAAAGCGTCAGGGTCACCGTGGCTCAGCAGCAGCCTCCGCTTCTCCCAGGAAGCACTCCCTGGGAAAGAGTCAGCACAGCGCTGACATCCACACCGCGTGAAATGAGAAAGGCGTAGTCTCTTCTGCTATAATCACGAGGAAAAGATATCTCTCAACGTTACAGCAACAGGTGTTCTGCTTTCTGCAGACGAATTTCAACCAAGACCTTGTCCCCACCAAGAACATACCATCTAAAACCTTGTATGTAAATCGTGGCCCACAGCCCGCCACTTGGCTGCTGGGGAGAAATGCAAGGTCTACCAAATCAGAACCTGCATGTTAACATCACCCCCAGTGGTCCCTGTGCTTGTCAACGTGTGAGGGACATACACGCCTGTACACGCCATCTCAGGTGTGGCCACCGGCCCGTTTATTTCTTTTGTAAAAAGCAGGGAGGGGGGTGCTGGGCCCGGCTTCACCGCAGTGGGACTCCCGTAGGGCCGGGGGCTTCTGCCGGGAGCAGGGCACTCACCATTCATCCGTCCCTGGAGCTGTCCAGAGGCCGGCAAAGGAGACGGTGAGGGAAGACAGTGCTTTCCTGTGTGAGAGAGAGCAAGGGCCAGTGCGGGAGTGGGTCCGTGGGCCTCGCTGGGCCCTCGGGGCTTTGTCCTATAGCAGTGGTTCGACCCCTTCCCTGGCTCTCAGCCTCACCCCGGCACGGTTGGCCAGGGAGCATCTAGAGGTGGCGGGTGGCATCCTCAGAGCCCAGCCTCTTTGGAGCAGTGCTGCCACTTTCGACGTTTTGGCCTTACCTGGGGGCACCTTCATTTGGTCAGAAGCGGGTCTTTCTGCTCCACTGCGTGGTTTGGTCTCGGGGGAGGCATCGCCTTCTCCAGGAAGCACCTGCTGGCTCCACTGAGCTCTGCAGCTGGCAGGAGAGAGCTCGGGCACAGTACGCCGCCACCCCCCCCCCCCCCCGCATCTCCCTCCTCCCTGCGTGCTGGGCCCTGAGGACACCTGGCGATTGGTCTTGTGTGATAACTGATGTCTTCTTCTCTCCCCTCACAATGCTAACCCACCGGACTAACAGCCAGCATTCAGAACGAGCGTAAGTCCCGGGCGCCTCTCTGCATCTGTGCCTCTGGGGCGGGTAGGGGGGCAGGAAGGTGGGCGGGCGGAGGCCAGGTGAGGGCACGCCAGGATCCTTGGCCTCTCCGCCCTGCCTGCTGCGGCTCCTGACACCAGCGCTCTGTGGCGAGGTCCCTTACCACACGGGAAGGGGAGAGGCTCAGCCTATGAAAGGCAGGTGGGCAAGAAGGGCGGCTGGCACAGGAGCCCCCGAGAAGTGCAGCTCAGGACCGGGAGGGAGGAGATGCTCACTGGCCTGCAGACAAGTCCCTGGGAAATTCTCTGGGGACTGAAGCCTCTTTCAGCTCCGTCCTCGCCACAGGTTGGCCATCTGTTGACCCTCCGGGGCTCAGAAGCATCACAGCCACGAAGTTCTGAAAATCTAGCTGCTTTCTGTTCCTATATTCATTCAGCAAACATTGACGTTGTACTAAGCATTGGGCAGAAGAGTGGGTCAAACAGAAGCCTGGCCTTCAGTTTCTCACGGGGATACGGGGACATCGTAAAGGGATTCTTCTTAATGGGTGTCTGACCCGCATCCCTTCCCCGCGGTCTCTGGATGGGGCCCTGCCCACCCTGCTTGCTTGCTTGCTTTTCTCTGTGGTTTCCGAAGCTCTTACTTGCAGCCGTTCTCCGAGCCAGGGCCCGGCAGGTTCCTGCCGCCTGACCGCCTGCCGTCTGCCCTGTTGCAGTGTCCCAGCCCCCGACCATCACCAAGCAGTCGGTGAAGGACCACATTGTGGATCCCCGCGACAACATCCTGATCGAGTGCGAAGCGAAGGGGAACCCGGCCCCCAGGTGAGTGCCCCGGCGGAAACCCGGCTGGGCGAGCCAGAGGGGCCACAGGGGCCATTCAGCTCCGCCCGCGCCCCGGGCCCTGTGACAGCTGGCCTCTGAGAAACTACATCTACCCACTCAGCCCCCACTAGGCAGAAGGTACAGTTTGGGAAATGAAGAAATTTAGCTGATGAGGAAACTTGGGGACCAGAAACTATGAGGCTTAAGGTCACCCCAAAGCCAGGACCAGATAAGCTTTCTGGCTTTCAGCGTAACACTGTCTGCGCTGCCACGCTTAGCTCAGAGGCAGCCCCTCTCCCTGGCTCACCGAGTGTGTTCTGAGCTCGTCCCTGCTCGTGTGTGCGCACGTCGGGGTCACGTGGGTCAGCAGACACGAGTTGAAAGCCTGCCGCCTGCCAGGCTCTGTGTCCGAGTTGTTCCTCACACACGGAGTCGTGTAGGGGAAGGACCTACGTCCTTGTGAAGGGAGGTGAGATGGAGGCACAGAGACCCTCAGTACCTTCCCAAGGTCACTCAGCGCCTTTCCAAGGTCACTCGGCGTGAGAGAGGCAGAGCCTGGATTCTAACCCAGGCCCCTGGCACCCGGGCCAGGTGTGTTTCTGTTGGACGGCAAGCACTGGCGACGTGGATGGAGATGGTGTGCTACCCTCCCCCATCCTCCAAGCAGCTCCCACAGGCTGGAGCTTTCAGGGGCCTCGTGCCAGATTCAGGCCCAGACATGACAGGACCCCATGTGTTGGGGGGGGGGGGTCAGTAGGAGAAAGGAGGCAGGGTGCAGCCTCAGGTGTGTGGCAGCTTTCTTTGCCCCCCAGACCCCCCCGCCCCCCATGTTTGCATGAGCCCGTGTAAGAGCCATAGGCCTGGAACAGCAGAGCCTCCTCGCCCACGGTGGGAGAAGCAGGATCGCCCCGAAGGGTCAGGCAGGGCTTGAGTGATCTTGTTTCTGAGGTCTGGGCTGCCCCTTGTTCCTTTATAGGGACAACGACTAACACTGGGCGGCCACGGCTGCTCCTGCTTCTTTAAGGCTATATCCTGGGCAGCTAGACACGCGTCCCCCCAGGAGAAGCAGAGGGGCATGCTTCTAACCCGGGCTCAGGTTGATGGAGGCTGATTTTTCTCTCAACACGGCCCCTTCTGGGCCCTTATGTGCGGCCACTGCCTTACATCCCACCCACTGAGCAGGGGCACAGGTAGCCTGAGCCGCCTCACTTCCCTTTAGACCAGTGGTTCTCAACCTTCTGGCCCTTTAAGTACGGTTCCTCATGTTGTGACCCAACCATAAAATTATTTTCGTGGCTACTTCATAACTGTCATATTGCTACTGTTATGAATCGTCATGTAAATATCTGATATGCAGGATGGTCTTAGGCGACCCCTGTGAAAGGGTTGTTCGACCGCCAAAGGGGTTGCAACCCACAGGGTGAGAACCGCTGCAGACCCTTTCACAGGGGTCGCCTAAGACCATCGGAAAACACATCTATAATTACATATTGTTTTTGTGATTAACGACTATGCTTTAATTATGTTCAATTTGTAACAATGAAATTGGGGGTCACCACAACGTGAGGAACTGTATTAAAGGGTCGCGGCATTAGGAAGGTTGAGAACCACTGCTTTAGAGCCTGTTATCAAACGAGGAGGCAGGCGGAGCGAGCCAGCACATCCTGGGGGAAATGGAGGCTTGGGTTTGCATTCCTAGCTGGAGGTTGGGAAGCCCTGGGGGGTGGGGAGGGGCAGCTGACTCTGGATTTTATAAAATAAAATCACTGCCCACTCCTCCAAAGAACATAGGCCCCAGGGGCTGCTCAGTATTTGCTCATGGAAGCATGACTCCCAGCCTTGGCTGGTGCAAGGGCTGTCGGGGACCTGCTCCCGAGATTCACCTGGCGGGGGGGCGGGGGAGACACTGCATTCAGGATGCCCAGGTGGTTCTGCCACTGTGTCCGGCTGGGCCCATTGGTATGAAGGTGTGGTTTTGTGACAGAGTCAGGGACTAGGGTCCTGAGATTGTCGCCTGGAGCCCGGAACCCACCTTGTTACTGTTTGTTGCTCCTGCCTCCCCCCCGTCCCCCTCCCCCCCCATTGTCCACAGCTTCCACTGGACTCGAAACAGCAGGTTCTTCAATGTCGCCAAGGACCCCCGGGTGTCGATGAGGAGGCGATCCGGGACGCTGGTGATCGACTTCCGCAGTGGAGGGCGGCCAGAGGAGTATGAGGGGGAGTACCAGTGCTTCGCCCGCAACAAATTCGGCACAGCCCTGTCCAACAGGATCCGCCTGCAGGTGTCCAGTGAGTAGCGGGGGGCAGGGTGGAGATGCCCTGCTCCTGGGTGCATGGCGGGGTGGGGAGCGGGGAAGGGTCATGTGAATGATGCTTCCATCATTCTAGAAAGGCAACCCCTGCCCTTGGCCTGTTGGTGCTTTGGGGCCCTGCAGGTCCTGCTTGCTTTTCTGCCTCTGAGCAAAGCGCACCACCCCAATTCAAAACGATTCCTTGGAAAGGAAGCTTCTAAACCAGAATCTTGACAATGTCACCGGCCATTCTGGGCACAGGAGGAGGGGAAGGAGAGGAGCCTTTGAAGACATGCATCCGTTCAGACAAAGGCCTCTCTCCTCTCTCCTCTCTCCTCTGCCTCGCTTGGACCAGGGGGCCTGGCCCTCTCTCCTGTCTCGCTTGTCCTGCTTCCTCTTCCCTCCTCACATGCCGGCCCCTAACCCCGCTCCTGCCCGGCCCCAGCATCACCCGCATTTCATCCTCCTCCGTGTTTCTCTCAGAATCTCCCCTGTGGCCCAAGGAAAATCTAGACCCCGTGGTGGTTCAGGAAGGCGCCCCCTTGACACTCCAGTGCAACCCGCCGCCCGGACTTCCGTCCCCAGTCATCTTCTGGATGAGCAGCTGTAAGTCTTGGGGATCGGTGTTTTATGTCCATTTTAATCTTAGGGAGCAGGGTGGGCGTGTTAAATGGGGGGGGGGGTCTTGCCTTGTGAGAAGCAGATGTAAGGTGGCCACGTGGCTAAGAACAGGCTCTGTGGAGAGGCTGATTGGGCTCATTTCCTAAGCCCGGCTGCTGTTCGCTGTGTGATCTTGAGCAAGTTGCTTAACATCTCTGGGCCTCGGTTCCCTCTTCTTGAAAATGGGGCTGGTAATTGTACTTATCTAATAGAATTATTATAAGGATAAATAAGTTAATGCACCCAAAGTACTTATAACAGGGCCAGACACACAGTAAGTACTCGGTAATATTTGTGAGCAAAAGTAAAAAGAATAAAAAAGAGGATTAACTGTGTGTTTTTTTAAATCCTTACCCAAGGGTATTTTTTTTCATTGATTTTTTTAAATTTTATTTATTTTTTTAGAGAGAGTGGAGAGGAGGGAGGAATGGGGAGAGAAAGAGAGAAACATTGATGTGAGAGAGACACATTGATTGGTTGCCTCACCCTGACTGGGGCCAAGGATCAAGCCTGCAACTGAGGTACATGCCCTTGACTGGGAATTGAACCCATGACCCTTTGGTCCGACACCCTAACCACTGAGCAAACCCAGCCAGGGCAGAAACTGTGCTTTTAATATGCCAATTGAAGATTCAATTGGCATATTAAAAGCCTCTTTCAACCCTTGGTTGGTCTGGATTGCACTTCCTGTTAGGACAGAAGTGGAGCATGCGAGAATGAAACCTCTGGTGGAGGGGTGAGGGGAGGTAGGGTCTTTGGAGCAGGGGGACGGTGCACCATCATTCAGAGCTTGTCCCGGCTCAGTTTTGGACTAAGGCTCATGTAATCACTCTGGGCCTCAGTTTCTTCCTCTGTTTTCAAACTAAAGGGGGGGGGGGCATTATGAGGGTGAATAGAGGACTGCTATCTGTCTTCCTGGCTCCCCTCCCTCCTTCCCTCCACTTCTCTCCCCCCTCCCCTGCCTTCCATTCCTCCTTCCCTGTGTATGCATCCATCTGTCGGCCTAAACCCCCTCCCGCTTTCCTGTCCACCGTCCCATGCTCCCATTCCCGAATTCTCACCGAAGAGGCCGCCTTGTCAATGAGGCAGCAGGTGAGGTGTTCTGCAGAGTGGGAGTGGCTTTGTGCCCAATCCTTGTCCATCTCTTCCCCTCGCCACCGACCACATCTGTGGGGAAGGCTGCCTGGCCACAGACTGGGCGTTGGTCTGAGCTAACAGGTCAGAGCCTCCTCTCTCAGCCCCTGCGTCACACTCGTCGCACTGCCTCTGAGCAGATCTCATGGCCTTCTTTCTCTTTCCATCCCCACTGACATCTCCCCTCCCACATTTCCCTGGGTTACAGTAATTACCCATACCTGGCCTTCCTGGTCTTTCTGAAAACATAAATGTGACAGTTCCTCCATAGGCTCAAACCCTTTCATCGCTCCTCCATCACCTCAGACACAGCCTGGACTCCCTGGCACACAGTTCCCTCCTGATCCGGTCCCTTCTGCCTCCAGCTCTCCTCCGCCCCTCCCCTCTCCCACCCTCCTTCTCCTGTCCCTGTCTTAGCTCCTTTCTCTTCTGCCTTATAGATGCTACCCAGCCTTCAAGCCACAGCTCAAGCCCCTAGAATGGACTGGCTGCTCCGTCTCTCGGCTCATCCCCTGCTTATCCGGGCTTCCCACTCACCACACTGCAGTGCAGTCAGTTATTTACCCACTGTCTCTCCTACTAGACGGCAGGCTCTTTGACGGCAGGAACTGGCTTTCTTACTCATCTCTCTTTCCCCAGCACCTAGCACAGTGCCTGCACATAGTAGGCCTACAGGAAATCTTAGATAAATGATTTGTAGGGCTGACCAGCCCATCGTCAGAAAGTTGGCATCATTAACCTGATGCTTTAAGAAATGGTGGCTTAGAGAACACGCGTGGGGGTAGGAAGGCGTTTGCTATGAGTAGTCAGCCCTAGCAGGAGATTTTTACAACCCAGATAGCCTGGAGACCTGGCCGTTTGCATTGACATCAGACACAGTGTTTGAAAAATATATGGACTCTGTAGTCAGCATTCTCAGCCACTGCTGCGATGCCATTAATACTAAAAAGCACACATTTTTATGTTTTCCCATCTCCAAAACTGAGAAGCGTCCTAAAACTGATGGTGTGCACCGTTGATTGGTATACATCTTTCAATTATATTTGGTAGTGCTCTTTGCTTTCTTGGGGACTGGACGGGGGATGGGGTATAAGAAAATAAAACCAGTGAATTTGACTCCTGATCTGGGGGCATCTGAAGGATCGTGTCCCCTCCCTCTGGCCACCAGGACAGTCTGATCTCTTGTGGCGTGAATGGGAGACAGCAAAGTATGTTCATAGAGCAGTGGTTCTCAACCTTGGCTGCACATTAGAATCACCTGGGAATCTTTTTAAAATCCTGATTTCTGGGCCTCATCCTCCAGAAATTCTGTTTCTTTGTTATGGGGTGGGGTCACAACATTAGTAACAAAGAAACAGAATTTCCGGAGAATGAGGCCCAGGAATCAGGATTTTAAAAAGATTCCCAGGTGATTCTAATGTGCAGCCAAGGTTGAGAACCACTGTCATAGAGTTTGGGTGTGGTGGGCAGGCAGAGCTGAGTCTAAATCAGCTGTGGGCAAACTACAGCCCACAGGCCGGATCCGGCCCGTTTGAAATGAATAAAACTAAAAAAAAAAAAAAAAAAAAAAAAGACCATACCCTTTTATGTAATGATGTTTACTTTGAATTTATATTAGTTCACACAAACACTCCATCCATGCTTTTGTTCCGGCCCTCCGGTCCAGTTTAAGAACCCATTGTGGCCCTCGAGTCAAAAAGTTTGCCCACCCCTGGTCTAAATCCTCCTCTCCCTCACTGCTTGTGCAACAGAACAGTTCAGTCCTCTGTTTTCTTAGCTGTGAAATGGGAATAAGCCCCCCTCAGAGTTGAGAGTGAGGTTAGGTCAAATAACGTGGAGCACCTGGCCCCAGCTGGCCCTCTGCAGGTGCCCACTCGCCAGAAACATCACGATTATTGTTACTGTTACCGTTTCTGCTAACCTCCCCGTACCTCTGCTTCCTTACAGCCATGGAGCCCATCACCCAAGACAAGCGCGTCTCCCAGGGCCATAACGGGGACCTGTATTTCTCTAACGTGATGGTGCAGGACATGCAGACCGACTACAGCTGCAACGCCCGCTTCCACTTCACCCACACCATCCAGCAGAAGAACCCATTCACCCTCAAGGTCCTCACCAGTAAGTGCAGGCCCTGCCGGGGGCTGGGGGCCGGGGCGGCAGCCCACCCAGCTGAGCAGCCCCAGGTGCCTGGGCCTGGGGGAGACGCGCCCCCGAGGCTGACCTAGAAACCCTTCCGGCTCACTGCGCCTGAGCTACGTCAGCTCCTCTCAGACCCCTCCTGACCGGAAGCCTCGAGCTCAGCTTGGTCCTGCCCTGAGTCAGTGCTTCTCAGACTCTGGTGGGAATCAGAATGCCCTCGGGGACTTGGCAGGGTCCCCGGGCCCAGCCCGGCGGCGCCTCCCTGTGCTTCGTCAGCTCCCGGGGGCTTTGGACACGCCAGAACTGGAGAAGCATTGCTCTAGGTGCTCACCCACACCCCTCTCGTGCTCTCAGCTCGATTACCTCTTTTATATTTCGTCACCGTTTGCTTATCTTTATTTCTAGAATAAGCCACAGCACAGAGCATCCACACGAGTGGGTGCACCTGGTGCATGAGTTGCATTTGATTCTGGGACGTGTGTATGTCGGGCCATATGGGCTCGCTGCGTTTGCAGGGGGCAGGTTGATGTTTGGTCTTGTTTGTTTTCATTTTTATTCCCTGATTCTGTCCGACGGGCACCAAAGCAGATCGGCATTTCCTGACCCAACGGTAGGAGGAGAGAGGAGCTGATCAGCTCTGGGCACACTCCTTGCCGGACTCGCTGGCCTGGAGCTTTGGCTGCGAGTCCTCAGCCCGCTCGGGACGTTGAACGAGGCTGTGTGGGTTGTCCCCACGGATTTATAACAGGCCTTCCAGGGAGAGGCCTCCTCCCCAAAGACCTGTCTGCCTGACTCAGCTGTGAATGATGCTTCCAACACTGGGGACAGTGGCGATTGTGAGGGGGACCAGGCGAAGCTTTCTCAGGTCGGAGAAAAGGGGCTGAACCCTGGCTTCCTGGAGCCCACACGTGCAGGTGGCTGGCGGTGCCTCCTGGAGGGACATGGGAGGCGGGGGAGAGGCTTGGGTGAGCTCACGCCTCACTCAGGACAAGTGGGACGACCCCCTAGCGCTCCCCTTTCCTCGCCAGTCCCTGCCCCCGATGGAGAGCCGCAGTGCCAAGCGTCAGCCCGCCCCACTGTTCCCACGGCCTCGAAGTGGAGCCACAAGAAGCAGCTTCCCCTGCTTTCCCCCCCTTTCTTTTTTTCCTTTCTCTTCATTTCCTCCCCTTTCCTTTTTCACTTCCTTCCTCTCTATTCCCCTTCCCTCTTTCTTACTTTCTTCTTCCCCCCTCTCTCTCATCTGCTCTCGCTCTTTGACCCGGGTTTACCGCCTCTAATCCTCCCCCTGGTGCCTCTGCAGGTCCCCACACTCTGTTCTGAGCAACGGGATGGCCAGAAACCCAGGGACAAGCCCCGCATGTTCCCGGCAGGTCACCCAGCTTCCGGCTGCCGCTGTCCCTCCCTTGTTCTTATTCTAGACAAGCTGGGTTGTCTGAGGTGTCTCCTCGGTGCACGCCAGGGGTGCCTGCCTGCCAGCTGGCCGCGCCAGGAGGACAGCGCGGTCTGCCCAGGACCTCAGCGGCCTCCGGGGCCAGGACGCGGCTGGCGCTGTTAGGTGGGGGGAAGGGAGGGGAGGTCAGGAGCTGCTCACCGAGCCGATCCCTGACGCCAGCACTGCCATCCCGGGTCCCTCTCTCCCTGCCCGGGACAGGCCTGCAGTCAGCCTGCTGTGTGAGGACTGGGTCAGGTGACCGCCCATGGTCCTGGCTGAGGCCTCCGCTGTCCCACAGGCAGAGGCGGGGATGGAGGTGGGGAAGAGCCCTCCTCTGTGGCATTAAGCAGTGAGAGATTTCAGCCACATTTACAAGTTGGTCTTTCCAGAAACTTCCTTTCCTCTGAGAAAAGGGATGTCTGTTTCGGCTCCATTTCTGGATCTTCTGTGCCACTGAAAATGCCTCCAAATGCCGAGGGGCCCCGGGCGCTGCGAGGAGACTCTGCCGGCTTCCTGGATCGCGGGGGGCAGCTTTGGGCAGGAGCAAGCTCTGGGCACCCGCACATCTCACATGTGCTCTCTCCCCTTCCCTGCCTGGCAAGGACGCAGGCTTTTTCTTATGCCTTCAGGACCGAGCTGGGGTGGGAGGCCGAGGTGGGGCAGACTCTGCCCTCCAGGGCTGCCACAGCTCGCCCACCAAGAAGGGGTAAATCTCATCTCAGTGGATTTTGTATTTCCTGCAGGAAAGGAAGGGGTGCCTAACGCAGCACTGCCATGTGGAATCAGTTCTAAACTTTGTTTGGGGTGCAGTCCCACACAGAGCAGGTCCCATTCCCCCCCACCGGCCCTTCCCCCCTCCACCCCCCGACCCCGGGCGCCTCTGGACAACAAGAGGCAGCGATAGCGAGGGAAGAGGTCTCCCCGAGGAGTCGCGGGAGCACTGTCTGCCTCCTTCTAACATCTGTGTCTAAGTGACACTCTCTGAGGAGTCAGAGGCCTCCCTGAACTTCTCAGATGTGCTCCCAGGTCCACAAATGCAGGCGCAGTCTGAGCGCGGGTCTCTTCTCTGGGTGGGAGCACGGAACAAGGGCCTGTCCCCTGTGCATCCCCGTCCCCGTCCCCTCCCCCAGGAGTCCGGCCACAGCCAGGCCTACCCTTTGCCACTCCGCCTCTTCTTTCCCTGCAGGTCAAGTCCACCTTCGCTCCAGGGAAACCCACGCTGGCTTCCAAACACAGGCCAGGCCTTTTACACAAACCCTGCCTTGAGGGCTAAGTCCTGAGCACCTCCCTGCTGGGATGCAGAGCCATGCAGCCCCAGAGAGGGCCAGTCTCCAGCCAGCTGTGACCAGGTTGAGCTGTCCTCCAACAGGCCCACGTCCTGGCAGGCACCTCTCCTCCCTCAGGCCGGGGGGCAGTTACGGCTTCTCAGGGCTGGCTGCCCGGCTGCCAGTCAGCTGCTCCACCCCCAGCCTGTGCTACCGACAGAACCTGAACCCAGTGGCTGGAAGGGATGGTGGCACAACAGGGAGACGCTACTTACCGATCTCGGCATGACCATGTGCCCGACGTCAAAATGCTTTCTCACGGAGGGTTCGGTGCCCAAGGGTTTTACCCGCCCAGTGTTGGAACGAGGCCTCTGGTCTCGCTCCTGAAGGAATGTCTTCGCTTCTGAGCCTTGGCTTAGTCCGCGGGCCTCTCCCAGTGCACAGTGTAGAACTCAGAGCACTCACATGCCCCCCTCTCTCTTTCGCCCCCTCTTCCTCTTTCCCCCTCCTTCCAAATGCCCTTTCTAATCCTAAAGTCTGAGCCCCAGCCTAGCTCTGCCCGCTCCCTGGACCACTCCCCGCCTCCTCAGAAGGAGGCCTTTCCGCCCACAGACACATCTCGGAGACCAGGGCAGCACCCACTGGTCAGGTTGGGGGTGCGTGTTGCTGGTCAGCACGCGTTGTCGGCTGCTGCCAAGGGTCCCTGTCTCCTGCTCTGCTGACGAATGTTTCTCTGGACGGTTTTCTCCTCTCCTTCTCTCCCACCCCTGGCAGCCTGGCTTCTGCTCAGACAGGACTCGGCCCTCTGCCGGGGCTCACGGACCTCCTTTCTCTTTAGCCCCCAAGAGCTGGCTTGACCCAGAGGCCCGGCACCTGAGGGTTTTGATGGGAAGCAGGTGTTCAAAGACTGCCCCGGGGTATCACTAACCCTTATCTCCTTCATTTGAAAATATCATAGGACCAAGCAGTTAAGGGCCAAGCCTAATTTTTTAATTTAAAAAGAAACTTATCTTTTTTTATTGCCTTCTTTTGCAGGATTTAACCTTTTCTTTCTTTGTTGGGCTGTTTTGTGTTGCTTGTTCTGCACCAAGCGTATTTCCTTTCCAAGTTCGCCGCGTCTTTCCTTTGCAAGAGACCACGGGTGCGCTCGCGGCTGTTTTGTGGCTTCGCGTTTCTGTTTGTTCTCCCCCGTTTATGCCTCTGTGGCCCCCTGTTTGCTCACCCTCTTTTGTTTATTGCAGACCACCCCTATAATGACTCGTCCTTAAGAAACCACCCTGACATGTACAGTGGTGAGTCGCTGTGGTAACCTTGGGAGTAACCTTGCCTGTCCTAACCCCAGTTTGCCTAACTTGACTGATACCATGTCATTAACTCATGCTGAGTGGCAGGTGTGAGAGCGGGCCAGGCCAGGGGGGCCAAGGTGCCACCTGCAGAACGCTGCTTGCAAGGAAGACAGCGGCCAGTTTGGGAGTAGGAGGTGGCCGATGTTGTGGTTTGGTCTCCTCCTCCATGCAGGCCTCCAGTTGGTCAATTCTGCACAAGTTGGTCAAACCAGGGGAGGACTTCAGAAGAGCTTCCTGGAGGGTTCGGTAGAAACTTGGGCATCGGTGGTAGGTGGGTGGAGGATAACTGAGGGTGAGGAAGAAGCAGTAAGTCTGGTCCTATAGTGGTTTAAAGAGCACAGAGAGCTTTGCAGTGTGTGTTTTGTTAACTCTTAAGTGTCTGGGTGTGAATTGCCTGCCTTGCAGTCTAGCCATAGCTAGTGGGGATCCCATATCACAGGCCCCTGGCCTCTTTAAAATCCACTTGGGAAATAGGAGAGTCCAGCTCTGAGTTCTCTCTCCAGGTGAATATGGATGAAGTTGTGCTGTCCCTGGGCCCCCTCTCTCCTCTGGGAGGGCGCGCAAATCCAGTGCCCACCGGTCCACACATTTGCAAGTCGCAGAACAGTTTCCATGAGGCATAACTAACTCATCACGCAACGGGCTGCTCACGCTGATTAGTGGAGTAATTGGCTCTGTCCACACCTGGGTTACTCCCACCGTGGCTGAAGAATGCCCTCTTTCCCCGAGCAGCCAGAAGAATCGTCATTTTCTGGCTCTGCCAAGACAGCTGGCCCCCGTCATCAGCCTGGCCTCCGAAGCTGAGACTGCAGGTCCCCAGGGCGGCGTGGTGGGCTCCACTAGACAGGAAGTGTCTGTATTGTCATGTGCTAATGTAAACAGTGAGTGGGGGATGCGAAGGGGGTGAGAGGCAAAGGCTCTAACTTGGCACCGAGC